GGGGGATATGATCTCCATGTATAATACATAAGGGGGGATATGATCTCCATGTATAATACATAAGGGGGGGATATGATCTCCATGTATAATACATAAGGGGGGATATGATCTCCATGTATAATACATAAGGGGGGGATATGATCTCCATGTATAATACATAAGGGGGGATATGATCTCCATGTATAATACATAAGGGGGGATATGATCTCCATGTATAATACATAAGGGGGATATGATCTCCATGTATAATACATAAAGGGGGGATATGATCTCCATGTATAATACATAAGGGGGGGGATATGATCTCCATGTATAATACATAAGGGGGGATATGATCTCCATGTATAATACATAAGGGGGGATATGATCTCCATGTATAATACATAAGGGGGGATATGATCTCCATGTATAATACATAAGGGGGGATATGATCTCCATGTATAATACATAAGGGGGGATATGATCTCCATGTATAATACATAAGGGGGGATATGATCTCCATGTATAATACATACATAAGGGGGGATATGATCTCCATGTATAATACATAAGGGGGGGATATCTCCATGTATAATACATAAGGGGGGATATGATCTCCATGTATAATACATAAGGGGGGATATGATCTCCATGTATAATACATAAGGGGGGGGGATGATCTCCATGTATAATACATAAGGGGGGGATATGATCTCCATGTATAATACATAAGGGGGGATATGATCTCCATGTATAATACATAAGGGGGGATATGATCTCCATGTGTATAATACATAAGGGGGGGATATGATCTCCATGTATAATACATAAGGGGGGATATGATCTCCATGTATAATACATAAGGGGGGGATATGATCTCCATGTATAATACATAAGGGGGGATATGATCTCCATGTATAATACATAAGGGGGATATGATCTCCATGTATAATACATAAGGGGGGATATGATCTCCATGTATAATACATAAGGGGGGGGGATGATCTCCATGTATAATACATAAGGGGGGGGATATGATCTCCATGTATAATACATAAGGGGGGGATATGATCTCCATGTATAATACATAAGGGGGGATATGATCTCCATGTATAATACATAAGGGGGGATATGATCTCCATGTATAATACATAAGGGGGGATATGATCTCCATGTATAATACATAAGGGGGGATATGATCTCCATGTATAATACATAAGGGGGGATATGATCTCCATGTATAATACATAAGGGGGGATATGATCTCCATGTATAATACATAAGGGGGGATATGATCTCCATGTATAATACATAAGGGGGGGGATATGATCTCCATGTATAATACATAAGGGGGGATATGATCTCCATGTATAATACATAAGGGGGGATATGATCTCATGGGGGGATATGATATGTATAATAAGGGGGGGGATGATCTCCATGTATAATACATAAGGGGGGGGGATATGATCTCCATGTATAATACATAAGGGGGGGATATGATCTCCATGTATAATACATAAGGGGGGGATATGATCTCCATGTATAATACATACATAAGGGGGGATATGATCTCCATGTATAATACATAAGGGGGGGGGGGATGATCTCCATGTATAATACATAAGGGGGGGATATGATCTCCATGTATAATACATAAGGGGGGATATGATCTCCATGTATAATACATAAGGGGGGATATGATCTCCATGTATAATACATAAGGGGGGATATGATCTCCATGTATATGATAATAATAAGGGGGGGGATATGATCTCCATGTATAATACATAAGGGGGGGGGGGGATATGATCTCCATGTATAATACATAAGGGGGGATATCTCCATGTATAATACATAAGGGGGGATATGATCTCCATGTATAATACATAAGGGGGGATATGATCTCCATGTATAATACATAAGGGGGGATATGATCTCCATGTATAATACATAAGGGGGGGGGGATATGATCTCCATGTATAATACATAAGGGGGGATATGATCTCCATGTATAATACATAAGGGGGGATATGATCTCCATGTATAATACATAAGGGGGGATATGATCTCCATGTATAATACATAAGGGGGGATATGATCTCCATGTATAATACATAAGGGGGGGATATGATCTCCATGTATAATACATAAGGGGGGGGATATGATCTCCATGTATAATACATAAGGGGGGATATGATCTCCATGTATAATACATAAGGGGGGATATGATCTCCATGTATAATACATAAGGGGGGATATGATCTCCATGTATAATACATAAGGGGGGATATGATCTCCATGTATAATACACATAAGGGGGATATATGATCTCCATGTATAATACATAAGGGGGGATATGATCTCCATGTATAATACATAAGGGGGGGATATGATCTCCATGTATAATACATAAGGGGGGATATGATCTCCATGTATAATACATAAGGGGGGATATGATCTCCATGTATAATACATAAGGGGGGGATATGATCTCCATGTATAATACATAAGGGGGGATATGATCTCCATGTATAATACATAAGGGGGGATATGATCTCCATGTATAATACATAAGGGGGGATATGATCTCCATGTATAATACATAAGGGGGGATATGATCTCCATGTATAATATAAAGGGGGGGGGGATATGATCTCCATGTATAATACATAAGGGGGGATATGATCTCCATGTATAATACATAAGGGGGGGATATGATCTCCATGTATAATACATAAGGGGGGATATGATCTCCATGTATAATACATAAGGGGGGGATATGATCTCCATGTATAATACATAAGGGGGGATATGATCTCCATGTATAATACATAAGGGGGGGGGATGATCTCCATGTATAATACATAAGGGGGGGGGGATGATGATCTCCATGTATAATACATAAGGGGGGATATGATCTCCATGTATAATACATAAGGGGGGGGGATATGATCTCCATGTATAATACATAAGGGGGGATATGATCTCCATGTATAATACATAAGGGGGGATATGATCTCCATGTATAATACATAAGGGGGGATATGATCTCCATGTATAATACATAAGGGGGGGGGGGATATGATCTCCATGTATAATACATAAGGGGGGGGGGATATGATCTCCATGTATAATACATAAGGGGGGATATGATCTCCCATGTATAATACATAAGGGGGGATATGATCTCCATGTATAATACATAAGGGGGGGGATATGATCTCCATGTATAATACATAAGGGGGGATATGATCTCCCATGTATAATAAGGGGGGGATATATGATCTCCATGTATAATACATAAGGGGGGATATGATCTCCATGTATAATACATAAGGGGGGGGATATGATCTCCATGTATAATACATAAGGGGGGGATATGATCTCCATGTATAATACATAAGGGGGGGATATGATCTCCATGTAATACATAAGGGGGGATATGATCTCCATGTATAATACATAAGGGGGGGGATATGATCTCCATGTATAATACATAAGGGGGGATATGATCTCCATGTATAATACATAAGGGGGGGATATGATCTCCATGTATAATACATAAGGGGGGGATGATCTCCATGTATAATACATAAGGGGGGGGATATGATCTCCATGTATAATACATAAGGGGGGATATATGATCTCCATGTATAATACATAAGGGGGGATATGATCTCCATGTATAATACATAAGGGGGGATATGATCTCCATGTATAATACATAAGGGGGGATATGATCTCCATGTATAATACATAAGGGGGGGATATGATCTCCATGTATAATACATAAGGGGGGATATGATCTCCATGTATAATACATAAGGGGGGGATATGATCTCCATGTATAATACATAAGGGGGGGATGATGATCTCCATGTATAATACATAAGGGGGGGATATGATCTCCATGTATAATACATAAGGGGGGATATGATCTCCATGTATAATACATAAAGGGGATATGATCTCCATGTATAATACATAAGGGGGGGATATGATCTCCATGTATAATACATAAGGGGGGGATATGATCTCCATGTATAATACATAAGGGGGGATATGATCTCCATGTATAATACATAAGGGGGGATATGATCTCCATGTATAATACATAAGGGGGGGGGGATATGATCTCCATGTATAATACATAAGGGGGGATATGATCTCCATGTATAATACATACATAAGGGGGGGATATGATCTCCATGTATAATACATAAGGGGGGATATGATCTCCATGTATAATACATAAGGGGGGGGGATATGATCTCCATGTATAATACATAAGGGGGGGGGGGTTGCTGTAGGAAAGTCCTGGATTCTTTTCTTGGATACACAGAATATAACTGGATATAACATTTATAGGGGAAAGTTGATCCAGGGAATATCCGATTGCCTCTCGGGGGGTCAGGAAGGAATTTTTTCCCCTGCAGGAGCAGATTGGATCGTGCTTTGCTGGGTTTTGCCTTCTGGTGGATCAGCTGTGGGTGTCGGATTATAACTTTTATTTTTAATGGTACAACTAGATGGAATGTCTTTTTTCAGCCAGACTAACTATGTAACTATGTAGGTCCCACACCGCTGCCTCCCATCTCCTGAGACTGCACTCAGTGACTTGGGTCTGAGACACTACAGACATATCCCTCCACCCGGCACAGCCAGCAGATAACAGAGAGAAGGTCCCTGGAGGAGAGTCAGGCACAAGGCAGGGGAGACCCCAGTCACATGTCCTGGGTGCCTACATTATGCAATGCTTAGAGTAAAAATCAACATTTTGCTGCCAGCTGAACCCCAAACCTCCATAAATCCAGTCTAGATACATAAATTGTGTCTGCAGCACAGAGAAGGAAGATTATCCGAGAGAGAAATCCAGGAATACAGGACGGGGGGGAACACAGCTCAGGAAAGTGACCAGGGGATTACAGGCTGATATCACCCAGTCCCCGCCCTACTCTCTGGACCAATCAGTGAGCAGTATGGGTGGAGGAATGGATTTAGTGTTCATGACCCACCTGTGTGCTGATCTCTGTAGGAGTGTCCTCCTCTATAAATGTCCCCGTTATTCCATCCTCCTCCATAGACTGCTGATCATCCCTCACATACGCCTCTTCTTCTTCTGCTTTCACCTCAAATTCTATATCGATTGGATCTCCACTCTAAATCAAGGAAATGAGAGAAAATATCATCTGTAAAAATGTAAGGTCATTATAAAAATCATCACACAAATTGTCTCTACAAGTCCATGTTCTAGATCCTCCATCCCACCAACCTTGTAATAGTGAGGGATGGTGTGACCTTCCTGTGTGGAATCCCGGGAATACAGAGGACGGGGACATCTCTCTGGTGGGTTCCTGGTATTAGGTGGCTCCATCATATCCTTGTGTCCTTCTGAAAACTCCTCCATCACTCCATACTCCTCATCCTCCTCTTTATACTCTTCTTTAACATCAATATTATCATCCCCGAGGATTCCACTCTGAAAGATATAATAAAACATTCATTGTAACAAACATGCTGTGTATAAATCACAACTACCAATAATTGTCATCATCTACCTGATGATGGTGAGGGATGGTGTGACCTTCCTGTGTGGAATCCCGGGAATACAGAGGACGGGGACATCTCTCTGGTGGGTTCCCATGACTGGATCCATCTGTAGGAAACACACACACTGACTGAATCCATTGTTTCTATGTGTTTATCAGATGATGGGGGATCTAGGTGGATCCTCCGTACTGCTCTCTCCTTTACAATAAAGTCTCCTCTTACCCGGTGATGTGAGGGGCGGCTGATTGTCCATCATGACGTCCTTGTAGAGATCCTTGTGTCCTTCTAAATACTCCCACTCCTCCATGGAGAAATAGACAGTGACACCCTGACACCTTATAGGAACCTGCACACACAATGATACAGTCACCATCCAGACACATCCCTTGTCTGTTACTGGAGAATGTCCCAGAATTCCCGGCACCGCTCACCTCTCCTGTCAGCAGCTCAGTGATCTCTCTGGTGACTTCTAGAATCTTCTTCTTCTTTCTCTCTTCTATCAGGGAGGGAGGTGGAGGCAATGTGATGTCATATGATCTCCAGACTTCACAGGAGGAAAACTCTACATCTGAACACAAATAGTCACATCAAATGATATTCCCAGAATCCTCCTCACCTCTCCATTCAGGTCTCCATTTTATTAAAGCCCCACTTCAGGCTGAGGTATAATTCCCCCCCCACAGGACCCCCACACTACGCAGGGTATAGGCTTGTTGCAGCATTCTGATGTCATTACATACAACGCAGGACCAACAGTCCCACTTTACATGTGAGGATACCAAGGGACCCACATCCTAAGAGCATCAGGAAAAAGCCAGATGGAGGGACATTGGAAGAGGAGCTGTGAGGTCAGTGTGATGTCATAGGATTCTCTGACTCCGGATGGAGGGACATTGGAGGAGGGACATTGGGAGGAGGGCTGTGAGGTCAGTGTGATGTCATAGGATTCTCTGACTCTGGATGGAGGGACATTGGGAGGAGGAGCTGTGAGGTCAGTGTGATGTCATAGGATTCTCTGACTCCGGATGGAGGGACATTGGGAGGAGATGCTGTGAGGTCGGTGTGATGTCATAGGATTCTCTGACTCCGGATGGAGGGACATTGGGAGGAGGAGCTGTGAGGTCAGTGTGTGATGTCATAGGATTCTCTGATTCTGGATGGTGGAACATTAGGAGGAGGAGTTGTGTGAGGTCAGTGTTATGTCACAGGACTCTGACTTTGGATGGACGGACATTGGGAGGAGGGAGGAGCTGTGAGGTCAGGTGTGATGTCATAGGATTCTCTCACTCTGGATGGAGGGACATTGGGAGGAGGTGCTGTGGGGGGGCATGTGAGTTGTTTCTGTACATTGCTCCAGGTGCATACCGCCTCTCCAAATAGGACTAAAAAAGATGAACTTTGCATACCGCCTCTCCAAACATGAAAGATGAACTTTGTCTTTGGGCTTTGCCAGGACACATCATATTTCGCAGATCTCCATGTACTCCGGAGACTTTACTGATCACATTTTAGGATGAATATCTGTGTCTGGGATCATTATGGAGAAATATGCTTTCAGGACATTATCATTATACAGGATTTATATAGCACAGTTTGCTCAGCACTTTACAATATAACGGGAGACAATACAGCAACAATACAGTTCAATACAAGAGAGATAGGAGGGCCTGATCTTGGGAGCTTACAATCTAAGAGGGAGGGGCTAGTGGTACAAAAGGTAGTAACTGTGGGGGATGGACTGGTAGGGGGAGTAGAAGATTCCATTATTAGCTGAGTGCAGGATAGGCTTCCCTGAAGAGAGAGATTTTCAGAGATTGACCAAAAGTGAGCAGAGTAGGTGATGGTCTGATAAATTGGGGTAGAGAGTTCCAGAGGACAGGGGGGAAGCTCTGGAGAAGTCCTGGAGAAGAGCATGGGAGGAGGAGACAAGGGGCTAGAGAGTAGGAGGTCTTACAAGAAGCGGAGAGTATGGTTTGGGTGATATTTAGAGACAAGATTGGTGATGTAATTTGGGGCAGAGTTATAAATGGCTTCATATGTTATTGTTAGTGTTTTAAATTTTAACCGTTGGGCAATGGGAAGCCAGTGGAGGGATTGGCAGAGAGGGGTGGAGGACACTGAGTGGAGGCAAGTGGAGAGATTGGCAGAGAGGGGTGGAGGACACTGAGTGGAAGCCAGTGGAGGGATTGGCAGAGAGGGGTGGAGGACACTGAGTGGAGGCCAGTGGAGGGATTGGCAGAGAGAGATGGAGGACACTGAGTGGAGGCAGTGGAAGGATTGGCAGAGAGGGGTGGAGGACACTGAATGGAGGCCAGTGGAAGGATTGGCAGAGAGGGGTGGAGGACACTGAATGGAGGTCAGTGGAGGGATTGGCAGAGAGGGGTGGAGAGGACACTGAGTGGAGGCCAGTGGAAGGATTGGCAGAGAGGGGTGGACGACACTGAATGGAGGCCAGTGGAGGGATTGGCAGAGAGGGGTGGAGGCCAGTGGAGGGATTGGCAGTGAGGGGGAGGAATGGAGGCCAGTGGAGGGATTGGCAGAGAGGGGTGGAGGACACTGAATGGAGACCAGTGGATTGATTGGCAGAGAGGGGTGGAGGACACTGAATGGAGGCCAGTGGAGGGATTGGCAGAGAGGGGTGGAGGACACTGAATGGAGGCAAGTGGAGGGATTGGCAGAGAGGGGTGGAGGACACTGAGTGGAGGCCAGTGGAAGGATTGGCAGAGAGGGGTGGAGGAGAATGGAGGCCAGTGGAGGGATTGGCAGAGAGGGGTGGAGGACACACTGAATGGAGGCCAGTGGAGGGATTGGCAGAGAGGGTGGTGGAGGACACTGAATGGAGGCCAGTGGAGGGATTGGCAGAGAGGGGTGGAGGCCAGTGGAGGGATTGGCAGTGAGGGGTGGAGGCAGTGGAGGGATTGGCAGAGAGGGGTGGTGGATACTGAATGGAGGCCAGTGGAGAGATTGGCAGAGAGGGGTGGAGGACACTGAATGGAGGCCAGTGGAGGGATTGGCAGAGAGGGGTGGAGGACACTGAATGGAGGCCAGTGGAGGGATTGGCAGAGAGGGTTGAGGCCAGTGAAGGGATTGGCAGAGAGGGGTGGAGGACACTGAATGGAGGCCAGTGGAGGGATTGGCAGAGAGGGGTGGAGGACACTGAATGGAGCCAGTGGAGGGATTGGCAGAGAGGGGTGGCAGATACAGAACGGTTAGTAAGGTGGATGAGTCTGGCAGCAGCATTCATGATAGACTGAAGAGGGGATAGCCTGCGATGAGGTCGGCTAATGAGGAGGGAGTTACAATAGTCAAGGTGAGAGATAACCAGGGAGGGAATAAGTTGCTTAGTGGTTTCCGAGGTTAGGAGCGGGCGGAGGGAATACTAAGAGCTCAGTTTTGGAAAGACTGAGTTTGAGGAAGTGGAGGGACATACATGCGATCCAACAGCAAGAGCACAGAATACGCCATATTGAGACAAAAATGGGAGACATAGTCACAGCACATAACGATTTAATTTACGCACATGATGACCACGCTTCTGAAATCGAGCAAATTCACCTAAAACTAGCAGATTTGGGAGATCGCTGAAGATGCAACAATATAAAATTCAGGGGTATGCCTGAAACTATCATCAATGATACACCAACAGTACATGAAACTCCTCATCCCATCTCTCTCAGATATGGAGCTCGCCACAGATCGAGCACATAAAATACCCAATCCCGCATTCTTATCAGCGTCAATCCCTAGAGACGTTCTGGCCCACATTCACTTCTACCATATCAAAGAAAAAATAATGACAGCAGCCAGAAACCCGCCCTGCTCCCGCCATCACATACAAACATCAGATTATATGCGGATCTCTCTAAGGCCACTCTTCTTAATCAAAAAAAGATGGTCAACATCACCAAGGCCCTACGAAACCATGGAATAGCCTATCAATGGGGATTCCCCACAAAATTGACCATCAGACACCAGGGCAGAACACATACAATGAGAACCCTAGAGGCAGGCAATTGACCTACTGAAGACTTGGAACATACTACCCGCTGAGCCCCACCAGTCCCCTCCTATCAATATGCAACATATGGAGGCAGAATAAACCTGACTAACCACACTCTTTGTACAACCCATCCTTACCTCCTCGGATACTATACCTCAACATATCGTTTTCTGGCAATGGCCCTTTACAAAATATTCTCATGTTACGAGACATTGTTTGGCATGACCCTTTTGCTGGTCTATGCTTGTTTGCACCCCCCTGTGCTTGTTTGCACCCCCCTGTTTTGCAGTAGCACTCCCTGCTACCCATGCTACTTGCATTTTCCGCAAGTCTTTTTTTTGCCCCCTTCTAAGTCACTCCCCCCTGCACCATCAGTCGATCAATCGGACCAACTGTTCACCTGAAACCAGCCAAAACAGAAGGAAAACATCACATGCATCATCGAGCGCACCAACACCACTATACCAAATGCATGGAAATCGCTCTTGTCCCCCCAAGTCTCTCTCGCCTATGTTAGCACGCACAGAAACAACTCCTCTACTCTACCAACCTAACCAGCAAACAACAAAATTATTGATATAACATCATCACTCAATGTACGGGGCCTAAACTCCCCTTTTAAGAGATCGATGCTCCAAAAGGAAGCCGGAACACTTCATGCTGACATACTCTTCATACAAGAGACACATTTCACAACTGCCAAGACCCCTAAACTACAACTGCACCGATTCACCCACATTTATATGGCTACCAACTCCAAAAAGAAAAATGGAGTTATTACAGCCGTGAAAGACTCTATACACTTCCAATACATCTCGGAAATAGCAGACTCTCAAGGGCGCTACCATATCCTATTCTGCAAACTCAACGACATACCATATACCCTAGTAAACGTTTATGGACCAAACGACAGCCAATTGCAATTCTACCACAAACTCCTTTCCACCATCTCTTCTCACAAACATGGCAGACTTCTCATTGGCGGAGACTTTAACATCATCGGCAACCCGCTCCTGGACTCATTCACCAACAAACGCTCTCCAAAACACAACTTTAATCGTTTCTTGCATGACCATGATTTATATGACATCTGGAGATGTCACCATAGCACCGAAAGAGACTATACCCTACTACTCCCCATCTCACCTTTCATACTCCAGAATTGACTTCTTTGTTACAGATAAATGGACTCTACATGTTACATCATCCAAAACTGGCACTATAACCTGGTCTGATCACGCTCCAATCAACATAACCCTGGACGACAAGCAACATTCCTCAATCCCCCGAATCTGGAGACTGAATTCCTCGATATTGAAGAACCCAGATAACCAAAAAACACCTATTAGAAGCTCACAAAACATTTTTTGAATTTAACGCCACACCTGACACCTCTATAACCACACTATGGTCCACCTACAAAACATACATGAGAGGTATCCTCATACAACTTAACACTCACATCAATAAACAAAGAACCCAGCAAATTGACCAACTTCTAGCATCCATAAAACTAAAAGAAGAAATCAATAAAAAAAACCCAAACCCCTCAACGCACAAATCACTAACCTCAGACAGAAATAAACTCCGATCCCTTCTACTGTACAAGATCTTAACCTTCAAAAAAACGAAAGCACAATTCTACTCCCTAGGCAATAAGGCAAATTCACCATTAACAAAACTAATTAAACATAGACGTCTCAAATCCAAAATACCCTCAATTACACACCCAACCACCCATAAGTCTCTCACAAACCCGCAAGACATAGCCAACGCCTTCGCAACATATTACCAAACACTATATAATATTAAATGACACAAATACATCCCAACCAACAATGATTTCCATTCAAAAATTTCTAAATACCACAAATCTCCCCCAACTTACCCCATTACAACTCTCACTTCTATCTCTCCCGCAGAAATAGCCAAAAACATAAAAACTTTACCTCTGAATAAATCTCCGGGGAAATTATGGCTTTACTACTAATGAATTCTACAAAAATATTTGCCCCCGATCTCACACCACATCTCTCCGTTCTTTTCAACCATGCCGCTTCTACAGGTGAATTCCCCAATGAAATGCTACAATCCATAACCACCACCATTTCAAAACCAGGCAAAGACCCCCAACTTTTCTAGAACTACAGACCAATCGCCCTATTAAACACGGACATAAAACTCTATGCAAAAATTATAGCACAAAGACTACTTCTCTACCTCCCCACATTAATCCACCCGGACCAAGTAGGATTTATTCCCCCATGTATATTGCGCTCTCAAACTCTAAACCAATCTATATACATAACAAATAAAAAATGTAAATGTGAACATAAAAACTCCGATTAGTGAACCCTCTTTCCACTAAAATCCAAAAAAGCAAAAAAACAAAAAAAAATTAGAAACTAATGCAATTCATACAAAATATGTTGCCCCACAAAAAATAACAAAACACATCTCTCACGTATCTTTAAATATGACTGCTTCCCTCAATGAATGTGCCCCAATGAAATCATAAATTTAGCAATTAGGTGAACCCACATTACTTCAAAACTCAGGAGGCAAAGCCCCACCTATTTAAAGAACCCCAGCACAAAGTCACTTATTTTTCTGTTACATCGGAATATAAATACTATTATATTATGCTTAAATTTTGTTTTATAAAATTTTGTTTATGCAAGTGGATAATTCTCCATTTATGTATATAACACACTCTACATAAAACTCATTTGTCTAAAAATTATAGCACAAGGTTGACTACTCAATACTACATTTTTATTTAATCCACCCTCGGACCAAGTAGAGGATTTATTCCTGGCCACCAAACACCGAACGCAACCAGAAGACTCATTTCCCTCATCCACAACTTAGAAACCACTAAAAACAACCCTCTCTACTCCTATCCTTGGATGCCGAAAAAGCATTTGACCGAATACATTGGCAATTTATGCAGCTAACACTCCAAAAATTCAGAATTACAGACTGGATGCTCTCTGCAATCCGTTCTCTATACTCCAACCTTCCACTAGAGTATTAACAAATGGTACACTCTCTTTCATATACCTTTAAAATTTCCAACGGTACCAGACAAGGCTGCCCCCTATCCCCCATAATATTTACATTACTCATCGAACCCTTAGCTTCAAAACTCAGAGACGACCCCACCTTTACAGGAATTACACACCTTAAGACTGAACACAAAATTAGTCTTTTTGCAGATGACATCATGCTTATGATAAATAACCCTCACAAATCGCTTCCATCAATTCGGGAACATCTCCGTAGTTATTCGGAAATTTCATATTACAAGCTGAATGAACCCAAATCTTCTATTCTAAACCTTCATACACCTACTAAAACTCAAACAATATTAACCAAACATTTCCCCTTTACTTGGGAACATCAAAGCATTCCTTATCTAGGAATCAACCTTACTACCACAACAGATCAGCTTTACACGTCAAACCACAAACTATTGCTCGAATCCATCCCACGAGAACTTAATCTCCGTACTTCCACACTCTCAAAATTGGGAAGAGTAGCAACCCTAAAAATGAACATATTACCCAAAATCCTTTATATATTCTGCACACTCCCCATCCCCATTCCTAATACCTTCTTTACCAAATTACAGGCGATACTCACTAAATTTCTCTGGAATGCGAAAAAACCCAGATGTACTACAAACCTATTAATACGCCCCACGTCCAGAGGAGAAGCAGGTCTCCCACACTTAAAATCATACTATAATGCCACTTTACTGGACCAACTTTACTACTGGTGGCACCCAACTAAGGAAAAAGCATGGTCCACCATGGAAATGCCCCCAAATACCCAACTTGCTCCACATCACCTACTGTTCCTTCCACAATCTCCTCAATCCAAAAGTTATCTCAAACATCCATGCATCCAAGCCACCGTACAAGCCTGGTATGACTTCCTCACCCCTAACCTTGACAGAAGCCAAACAAATACTCCAATTACAACTCTACATCTCATCACCCCATCCTTACCTATACCGCAATGGGAAGATCGAGGCATATCTTTTATAAAAGACCTCTATACAACCCAACATTTGGATCCCTTCCCGACTCTTCAAGAAAAATGTAACCTTCCCAACAAAAAGCATTTTACATACCTGAGAATAGCTCACTCCTTACAAAAGGCAAACATCCCTCACTCTTTGAAAATTCCCTCCATAGCATACCAATTCTTAAACAAAACACAATACCCGAAAAA